AGCGGTGGCGCGTACGCGCTTCACAATGAACAACAGGAAGAAGAATAGCGCTATATTATCTTTAGCGGCAAAAAAGAACACTTTAAGAAATAGTTGCTGAAACAACAGCACATCTACCAATGTTACTCTGTTCACTCTTTGATTCGCCATTTATGTGTTGTGTTTTCGTGTGCTTCTATGAATAATAAATACTTGAACGAAATAATATCGATTAGAAAAAACAAAATAATATGAATGAAAAATTTCAGAAACTACTATGAACGCACGAAAAATACAACTACCTACAATTTTATCTGAAAGCAAAAATCTCCAACTAACTTAAACAAAATATATAAAAAATAGGTAATCTTAATTCCAAATAATAATATGAATAGTAAAAGTATACTATAATTACTAAAAATAACTACAACTCAACCTTTTTGTACAGGTTGAGTTGTAGTTATACAAAACCTGTCTCAAATCGTGTCTTCGCAAATCCATGTGTGCTCTAACCTCAATATCGCACTGCAGTCTCAACCAGCTCTCAACTCTGCTCCACATCACTATCATGCGCAGGTGGCGCGCTCGATCAGCTGGAAAACTTCGCCGCCATTTACCTAGAGAGATCGCCTACGGCATAAAATAATGTCACTGCTGTCATTCTGACCGGGAGGTCCTAGGTTCAAATCACGACGGTGACAGGATTTTCGACATTAGCTTGTTAGCTAGGTCCAATTCAGTCGCTGTCTGGAGGAGAATTCTAGAGGCCGGCTGCTGTGATCGGTAGTTTCATGTGGTATCAACGATCAAGAATTTTTTATGCGAATGCCGGAGCGGAACCCTTTCGTGATCTTTCGTACCTCTTCATTGTCCTATCCTCTCGCCTTACTCACACATTAACACACTAACACGCACTACACAAGCACACATGCTGGAGACTGGTCAGGAGCTTACCGCTTGTCCCAAATGTGGGAAATACTTAGTTGGGTAAAACTCCGCCAGCCGACGATATGTTGGCGCCGGATCTCGCTATAGAGCGATGGAAAGAACACAGCCACTTCCCGAACAAAAACATGCACTACACTTACGGAACTAATGACCTGTTGCTGGAATCACTAAAAACAATCAAAAATTTGCCGCAATTTGACGCACTTTCATTGGTCGAGAGGTTTCTCGTACCTGAACCAAGATAAATGTTGATCATCCTTCCCGTTGAAACTTCGCGTTCCCGTCGTGTTGCAAACGTGTGTCTAAGATGTTCATCTTTCTATTTTCTTTCGCGTTTGCCGTTCCTGTTCGCGGGCTGTTGGGGAGCGGCCTTTATAGAAGAATCCGCCTGAGAATGAGCCAAAGGGACAGTTGGCTTAATAAATGAACATCACATGTAATTCTGAGACGTATCCCTCCGCCACGACAGCTGTTCAGCCACGACTCTTCGTAAAGTGTTAGTATTTGTGTAAGGCTCCCGTTGAGACATCAGGACTTCTCATGGTTCACGACCGTGTATTTATATAAAAAAAAGTATAAAACGCAAAGTATGGATCGTTTTCGATCACAGCTCGCCACCTTGCCGCACAGGAGCAGGAAGCACGAACACCAGTACGCAGCTGACATACAAGATCCCGTTTGCAAATAAAAATAATACTTATCACATCATAATACTTATTACACAAAAAGTAAATTCAATGAAATGTTTATAAAAAAAATTAATTTGTACAGAAGGGAACAGTAGCAGTGCACTTCTTCATTTCAATTATTTCTCGTGGGGAACTATATTTTCGAGAGAGCGTAGGCTTCCGCGGCCGGAGTCAGTATTTACTAGGCAGTCCGGGTGACGCCGCGTCCATGGCGAAACATCGACACCTTCGACATGGAATCGGCGTCACCCGGACAGCCTAGTAAATGCAAAGTATATTTTCGTCGGACGAGGACATGACAAAAGGAAGCGTCGTCACGGGCATTGAAGACTAAAATACCATATTAGACAGTTTATTTTGTATTGTGTTTAACCATTGTTTTTGGAGACTAGTTTTGAATGTAGATGCTCTAAATTAGGCGCAATACCAACTATTTTTTTAAACAAAATTCTGGAAATTGTTTGCAGGTGCCGTCTTCTTCTTCTTTTTCGTCCTCTTGTGAAGGGTTAGGTTCTTCAATAACATTTTGCTCGATCTTCCAATATCTCTTTTTACATTTTGTCGATATTGCATTACCAAAGCTAGAAGTCTATAACTTGAAATTCTTCTTAGAATACATACTTTTCTGTTATTTTTTACCAACTGATTAATCTCTCCAAAGTCCCTTCTGAAGATCAATATTCCTTTTTTGTCTAATTTTCAATATCCTAAAATACCTCGAATAAATTTCATTTATGCTGCCGAAACTTTAAATTTGTTTCTTTTTATCATTACTCTAGCTTAATTTATTTATCTTGGAATAGGCGCAGCTACAGTGTTAAAAATACTGACTCCAGTATCATTTATAGTTTTATTCCTTAATTTTCTGTGAATTAGTCCACATATATTTCGGAAATTGTTTTATTTTATGTCCAAATATATGACTTTTCCTTCCGAAATATGGCATCCTAGATATTTTAAGTGTTGTACTTGTTATATTACTTGTCTTTCTATAGTTATATTAGTTCTTACTGATATTTTTCTTTTAAATGCCATTGTTTTGGATTCCTTCATAGAGATTTTGAGGTACTCTACCTTTGTTAATTGATTTAAAATAAAAGCAGCTTTTCTAAATTTATCCTCATTGTCCTAATTACCTGATTACAGCGTTCATAAAAATTATTCTTCCAAGGTAAATTCCAGGGTCAATTAAAATTTTCCATGTTCTAAACATATCGTCAATACTGATATTAAAAAGGATTGGTGAGATACTGTAACCCTGCCTTACTACTTTATTAGTGGGAAATTTTTCTGTCACTTTCCTTCCTACTACTATTCGTATTGTGGAATCCTATGTGGTCTCCTTCTCTTTATTGCTTCCTTCAGATGTTCCGGGATGCTCGTCTTTCAATTATATTCCATAACAATTTCCTATTTATATTATTGAAAGCATTTTCGAGGTTTAAAAAAGTTATGTGGGTTTCGCAATTGAATTTTCTTTTTTGTTCAATAATTATTTTTAACGTAAAGATGGCATTAATGCTAGATCTGCTTTTCCTGAATATTACTTGTTCTTTTGAAATAACGTGGTCTGCTATAAATTTTAACCCCTCATTTAGAATTTTTATATATAACTTGCAGATTGTACAACATATGATAATGATTACTTGTAGAACGTATATAAAAGAGACAGTTTGCAATTGCCTTCAAAATGCGTCGGTGCATCGCATACATTTTACCTCTTGGATTGATGGTTTGGCTGCAGGAAGAATCAATCGAGTTGTAATTCCAGCATGCGTAATCAATATGATTCATAGTACTTTACCTGAAGACAATGAAATGTGCGTGGATTTCCTTGCATAGATTAAAGGACCACATTAATTTAAAAAGAAGATAGTTTATGTGAATAATAGAGTATTTGACAGAGACCAGAGGAATCAAACAGGTCATCTCTATACAAAATCAGACAAAATTTTTTGAGTGACGCTGACTGGTATTTGCCCTTGTAGCCCTTTCCTAACACTTTTAACGATTTGTAGAAACATGTATACAGAATTAGGACTACAAATAGAATATTTTAATGTGCAAATGACATCTGCAAACATTGTAAACTAACATTATCAATTTTTAGAAGTTTTGAGGAAGCTTCTAATGATACTTTTAAAAATCTTACAAAATGCTTATTACGGGTGTATCATCAGTAAAGTATAATGCTCTTTATTTTTGTTACTCCAAAATTATTCTCAGTAGACGGGCAATTTTGCCGCATTTAATAATATAGTTTCATGATTCAATGAGCAAATCCTAAGATTGGAAGCCAGCCACTGTTAAACCAATTTTTAAGAGTGGTAACAAACATATTTTGCCAATTACTGACCGATAAATCTTACATTAGTTGTATGTAAGCTAATGGGACTTTGGATAACTAGATTTATTAGACAAGATTGGGAAAACAAAGAATAGCTATATCAGGGACAGCACGAATTTACGAATGGTTTCTCTTGCGAGAGTCAGATAATATCATTGCTACATGATATAGCAAATGAAGTTGTTAGTAGGAGAATGAATGACGTAATAGTAGATTTTACCTAGGAGTTTACATAGATGTCCTACATGATAAACTGGTTTAAAAATTACTGAATTCGGGTATTACGCCAAGGAGTTCACGTGGATTGATGAGTTTCTTCGAGATGAGAAACAAAAAGTCCGAGTTGAACAACAGTTAACAATTTTAGTGACGGTAACTTCAGGGATACATCAAGGAAGTAATATAACACATTTTCTGTTTTTCGCATTAGAGAAAAGACGAATTGTTACAGTTGATTATATTGCGGAGTTGAATATTGAACTGACTCGATTGCGTCCCCAAGATAAATTGTAACAATATACAATTAAAATGAAACCGAGATTGAAAAAAGAAACAGTGAAAATAACATGTAATTATGTTATAAACTATATTAACTAACAAAATTTAAGTAAGATCTCATACCATGTTTACAGAAAGAGATATTAAAGAAACAGTTCAAAAATTTGCGATTTCAATGTTTGTTGTGAAGGTGCAATTAATCTTCAACTCCTTCACGCTATAAGTTACTCAGTCATCATCTATCATCAGAATAGCGGTTGATTGCACAATGGATGAATTCAACAAACAAATATTATTGGGACAGGTAAAAACATCCCAGTATAGAGTTAGAAGAATGTACACGCAAGTAAAACAAGTAGCGGGGCAAAGGGGTTGTAATACAAAATAAAGGAAAATGTACATTGAAAATACAATTTATTGAACTAATGGTCACACTCGACTGTACAACACGGACTCTAGTAGTGTCCGCAGGACACAGGCAAGTTCAACCAAATGAGCTCAGTCGTAGGCTTCTGGCTGAAGTCCAGGTTCTGACCGCTCTAAGCTTGGACTCGAAAGTACTCCGGCGGAAGCGGCCCCTTCTTGATGCAGTGGACTTCACCTCCCTTTTCTGGTAACTCGGTGGGCTTGCCAGGGCTCCTGGCACTCCGCGCAGCCGCCACTTGGTGAAGCAGTACAGGTCGCCCTTGCGGATGAGCTTGGTTGTTGCTTGATGTAGCACTGCGCCGGGGTTGCATGTTGATCTTGCTGAAGCCTTGAAGTCGCCTTTGGAGACTCGATGCTCGAGTCGGAGCTGGAGTCGAGTCGGAAGCTGTCGCTGGAGGCAAGCGTTGTCTGTAGAGTCGCTTGCTGGAGCTGGGAGCTGTCTGAGTCGAGCTGGAAGCTGGCATCGCTGCTGTCGTCGTTTTCGTCCACGTTTGTTTTCTGGTTGCGTGTTCTTCTTGTTGCTGTTTTTGTGTTTTCATTGTTGTTGTTGTTGACCTCTGTCGTCGTCGGAGCTAAGCTGGAACTAGACGGGAGTCCGACAGTCTGATCGACTAGAGCTAGAGCGAAGTCAGACTGAGTCGGAGTGGCGTGGACTGGAGCTGGAGCGAGTCGGCTTGGAGTCGGAATCGCCTGTCTGCAATGAGGAACCCGAGGGGTAATTTACTGTTAAGAGCGGGAAATCTGATGTCCCTTCGGGGGAAGCAGAGCTGTTTCTGGAGAGCGGTACTATTGTTTCGCGGGAGCTTACTGCATCGTTGGAAGCTCCACCAGGATGAACGCCCGTGAACAGCTCGGTGGCTCTCTGCACCAGGCCGTCTTGTCGAGGAATCGTGCTGGGCTCGCCATTGAAGGTGCCCGCAGAGGCCTTGCACGTGGTTTCGGGAAGTTGTTGGGCACCTTGAGAGACCGTATACTCCGCCGCGTAGATGATGACGAGTTCTGCCTCTGCAACGAAAGATTGAGCATGCCCTTGGTCTTCTTGTACCGGTACGGACAGATGTGATGACGCTTGTTTTTGGTCTGGATGACCTTCCTTGACACGTTTCTCCTCACCCTTCGCAGAGCTGCTACTGCCGTTTTCCACCTGCACGCCGCACATTGTACCCGAAAAAAACGCTGTAGCTTTTTTGGTTGAGCGATTCACTGCGCACAATGCTGATGCGTATTCCTCCAACCAGTTGCAGTTCTACAGGCAGAAGAGAAACGCTTAGGAGAGCTCTCACTACAAGCGCGCACTGCCGCCAAGCGGCGCCTGCGGTACTTACGCGCTGTGCTCGAGAGCGTTATACCGAGCAACCTCACTTGTTTTTTCGGGTCGCGGTAAGCGTAGAGCAGGTCATCATGACGCGGCACACGGCCCAACTTCCCGGAGGTGAATGCGTTGTCGAAGGTGTTGACGCTAGCTGCGTCCAGTGGCCACATGGCTGCAAAGAAGACATCGTGAGCGACGCGCTGGCGCAGAGCGCCGCATGCGCCCCTACCGCGCGCGACACTTCGCTGGTTCTGGCGCGGAAGCAGCGCGATAGGCCTTGCGCTGGCTGAACGAGGTAGGACTGGGTGCGGCGCGCAGGATCTTCGCGCTGACAGCGCTGACTGACGTGCGAAAGAGGGCACGACGTAGTTGGCCGCGGAGAACCACATCGCTGAGCCGCGCAGTCACGAGCGTCAGCTTGGCGCTCAGTAGCCACATGTGTCGGCCTGGTGGCAGTGCTTTGCCTGTGGTAGGGTACAGCGCCGGCGCGCGCCCGGTAAGATGCCCCACGTGGCGTTGAGCAGCCAGGGTCCACGTGCTCGTAGAGGCCGCATGGAAAAAAAAAAAAAAAAAAAGGGGAAAAGAGGAAAGGGAAAAGGGAAAAGGAGGAAAACAGCCCTCGTCCCAGCACGGCGAATGCGGCGCGTGAGTTGGGCAGGCGGCGGATGAGCTGGCCGTCGCGGACCT